ACGTACAGTAGAAGCACTATGAAAGCCCCATTTGAGTATCTTTTGATGTAAATACACTCATCTGTAGTAGTCTTCTTGTAACCTTGACTCTTCATGCATGAGTCAAACTTCTTATTCCACTGCCTTGGTGCTTGCTTCAGGCCATACAAGCTTTTCGATAGCTTGCACACGAGGTTCTCACTTGAAACCTCAAAACCTTCTGGCTGCTGCATATAGATTTCTTCATTCAAATCCGTGAAGAAAAGCTGTCTTCACATCCATCTGTTCAAACTCCAAATTCATACTTGCTGCCAAGCCAAGTATGACTCGAATTGAGGTCATCTTGACAACTGGTGCAAAGATCTCGTCAAAATCAATCTCTTTCTTCTGCTGAAAGCCTTTGACAACTAATCGAGCTTTGTATTTCACCACTTGTCCATTTGCATCTTTCTTCAGCTTGAACACCCATTTGTTTTTCAAAGCCTTTTTCCCTTCTGGAAGTTTAACTATCTCATAAGTTTGATTTTTCTGCAGAGAATCTAACTCTTCCTGCATCGCAGCCATCCATTTTTCTTTATCCTTATGAGATATGGCTTCTTAAAAACTCTCTGGTTCTCCATCTTCTGTCAATAGAAGGTATTCAGATGATGAGTACCTTTTTGATAGTATATGACCCCGTTCAGATCTACGAGTTGGTAGAACCATCTGAGAAGAACTTCCAACATTGGTGTCTGGCAAAATGGGTTGTGGCTCCCCTTGCTCTGGCAAGATGGGTTGTTGCTCCCCTTGCTCTGCACTCTCCTCCGTCTCCTCGTCTTCTTCTGGTACATCATCTTCATTGTTTCTCCAGAACACTTCTGGTGCTTCATCTTAAACTTGAGCACCCACATTTGACTTCTGAGACATCTTGGGCTTTTAGATATTTCTATTGTCAAATTTTCTTGGAACACAACGTCCCTACTTCTGATCACCTTTTTCTCCTTTGGATCCCAAAATCTGTATCCAAACTCTTCATCTCCATAACCAATGAAAATGCATGGGATGGACCTCGCATCGAGCTTCTTCCTGAGCTCTTTGGATACATGTGCATATGCTACACAACCAAATACTCTGAGATGTGAGTATGTCGGATCCTTACCAGTCCATATTCTCTCTGGAACTTCAAAATTTAATGGAACTGAAGGTGATCGGTTGATTAGATAACATGCGGTCTTGACAGCTTCTCCCCAAAATGGTTTTGGTAATTTAGCCATGTTCATCATGCTTCGGACACGCTCCATGATAGTCCGATTCATTCTTTCAGCAACTCCGTTGTGCTGAGGGGTACGTGGTACTGACTTCTCATGTCGAATGCCATATGTCCTACAATATGCATCATACTCCTTGGAAGTATACCCACCTCCATTATCAGATCGGAGACATTTCAGTTTCTTTCCTGTTTCACGTTCCACCATGACGTGAAATTCCTTGAAGTACTCAAATACCTGGTCCTTCGTATTCAGGAATATACCCACACCTTTCGAGAAGCATTATCAATGAAAGTCAGAAAATATCTGCTTCCACCCAGTGATTCAACCTCCATGGGACCGCAAACATCAGAGTGTACCAAGCTTAACAACTCTGATCTCTTTGTTGAACTTGTATTGAATGAGACTCTATGCTGCTTGCCCAACAGGCAATGACTGCAAGAACCCATCGTCGCACTCTTATCAACCTTGATAAGATCCTTCTTCATCAGGGTAGTCAGCCCTTTCTCACTCATATGGCCGAGTCTCTGGTGCCATAGATCCTGGGAAACCTCCTCTGCAACATTGAGGCTTTCTGTACTGATCTTCAAATGTGTTTTGTACAGCGTCCCACAAACATGTCCTCGGGCAATTTTCAGAACACCCTTTGACAACTTCCATGTGCCTGCGCCGAAGTGATTTTCATATCCTTCTTTGTCAAGAGCCACCACTGACAAAAGATTCAGCCTAAGATCCGGCACATGTCTGACATCCTTCAACAAGATTGTACTCCCGGTTCCTGTCGTTGCCTGGATATCACAAATTCCGACAATTTCAGAGGAACTGGAATTTCCCATCTTCACCGATCCAAAGTCTCCAGCTTGGTATGTTGTGAAGCATTTTCTGTTGGGAGTAACGTGATAGGATGCTGCAGTATCTACCAACCATTCAATGTCTTCTCTTGAGACATTAAGACACGTCTCACCATGGTTAGAGCAATATGCTACATCACCTGAGACAGTGATAAGAGTTTCACCACTCTTTCCCTTGTTCTTCTGCTGAGAACTATTCTTCGACTGAGAATTGCTCTTGCCCTGCTCC